TCGGGAGATGTCCCCAGCTGTCCCTGTTTTGCAGACATCGACGAGTGCACCTTCCAGAACATCTGCGTGTTTGGCACCTGCCAGAACCTGCCCGGGATGTTCCGCTGTGCCTGCGATGATGGATACGAGCTGGACAGGAGCGGGGGCAACTGCACAGGTCAGGGGTCCTGGGAGGGTCCCTGCTGCAGGATCTGAGCTGGCCCCACCTTCCCTGTGCTGGGAGGGCCAGGAGGGTTCCTCAGTGTCCGTCTGTCCTTCCTTTCAGACATCAACGAGTGTGCAGACCCCGTGAACTGCATCAACGGGCTGTGTGTCAACACCCCGGGCAGCTACCTGTGCAACTGCCCCCAGGACTTCGAGCTGAACCCCACCGGGGTGGGCTGCGTGGGTGAGTGGGACCCCCAGCCAGAACCTTTGGGTCCTGCTGGGTGCTCCTGGGAGCCAGAACTGGACACAATGAGGGTGGATGTCCAGAACTGGACACAGGGAGGGTGGATGTCCAGAACTGGACACAAGGGGGGATGTCCAGAACTGGACATGGGGAGTGTGACTGTCCAGAACTGGACACAGCGAGTATGGCTGTGCAGAACTGGACACAGCGAGCGTGGATATGCAGAACTGGACACAGTGAGGATGGATGTACAGAACTGGACACAGCGAGGGTGACTGTCCAGAACTGGACACAAGGGGGGCTGTCCAGAACTGGACACAGGGAGGATGGATGTCCAGAACTGGACACGAGGGTGGATGTGCAGAACTGGACACAGCGAGGGTAGCTGTTCAAAACTGGACACAATGAGGGTGGATGGCCAGAGCTGGACACGAGGGAGGATGGATGTGCAGAACTGGACACAGGGAGTGTGACTGTGCAGAACTGGACACAGTGAGGGTGGATGGCCAGAACTGGACATAAGGGTGACTGTGCAGAACTGGACATGAGGATGGATGTCCAGAACTGGACACAGTGAGGGTGGCTGTCCAGAACTGGACACAGTGAGGGTGGATGTCCAGAACTGGACATGAGGATGGATGTCCAGAACTGGACACAGTGAGGGTGCCTGTCCAGAACTGGACACAGCGAGGGTGGATGTCCAGAACTGGACATGAGGATGGCTGTCCAGAACTGACCACAGCGAGGGTGCCTGTGCAGAACTGGACACAGCGAGGGTGGCCGTCCCATCCCTGAAGTGCCCAAGGCCAATTTGGGGACCTGGGACAGTGCAAAGTGTCCCTGCCCATGGCAGAGGTGGCTCTGGATGATCCTTCAGGTCCCTTCAGCCTGAAGCATTTGTGATTTTATGATCCCACCCAGCTCCCACAACTTTTCCTTATCCCTGCAAGATTTCACTTTGAATTCACAAAGAAATTCTTTGCATTCCTCGGGGTGGAACAGGATCATCTTTAAGGTCCCTTCCAACCCGAGCCATCCCCAACTCCACAATCCCATTCCTCCTGCACCCATCCAGGAGGGTTTTTCTCACCCAGCTCTGTGTCTGTGCAGATACCCGGGTCGGGAATTGTTTCCTGGACACTCAGGACCGAGGGGACGGGGGCATCTCCTGCAGCGCCGAGATCGGTGTCGGGGTCACTCGAGCCTCGTGCTGCTGCTCCCTGGGCCGAGCCTGGGGCAATCCCTGCGAGCTCTGCCCTCCAGCCAACACCAGTGAGTGGGGAAATGCCTGGGGGGGATTTGGGGTGGACAAGGATCCTTCCCAAGGGATTCTCAGCTCAACCAGGAGGGGCCGAGTTTGGGATTTGCTGCTCCAGCCAGGGCAGAGCTGGGGTGGGGTGGGGGAGCCTGGGCTGTTGTGTTTGGGGGATCCAGGCTGGGATTGGTCATTCCCAGTTGGGRTGGGCTGAGGAGGGAATGTGGAATGAACCCCTTCAGGGTTGGGGGGCAGTGGGGTGGCTCAGCTGGTGATGGAATGGAGCTGCTCCATCCGGGATCCCTCCACACCCTCGTGGCTGTTCCTCTTCGGGTTCAATTCTGGGATCCCTCCACACCCTCGTGGCTGTTCCTCCTGGAGTTTCTATTGGGGTTCCCTCCACTCCCTCGTGGCTATTCCTTTTGGGATTCCCATCCGGGATCCCTTCACATCCTTGTGTCTGTTGGGATTCCCACTGGGGCTCCCTCCATTCTCATGACTGTTCATCCTGGGGGTCCCGTTGGAGTTCCCTCTACATCCTCGTGTCTGTTCCTCCTGAGAATCCCATTGGGCCTCCCTTCACACCCTCATGGCTGTTCCTCCAGGGGTTCAAACTTGGGTTCCCTCCATTCTCATGGCTGTTCTTCCTGGGATTCCGATCTAGGATCCCTCCATTTTCATGTGTGTCCCTCCTGGGGTTGTCCAGGTTTGGGGAACCCCTCTCAGCTCAGCCCCCTCCTCTCTCCACAGCCGAGTACAAGACCCTGTGCCCTGGGGGCGAAGGGTTCCGGCCCAATCCCATCACCGTCATCCTGGAGGGTGAGTTCTGGCTGCCCCCACGGCCCTTCCGAGGGATGGGGTGCCCTGAGGGGACACTCTGTGCCATGGGTCAGCCCCAAAGGGACACTCTGTGTGCCATGGTCAGCCCTGAGGGGACACTCTGTGTGCCATGGGTCAGCCCTGAGGGGACACTCTGTGTGCCATGGGTCAGCCCTGAGGGGACACTCTGTGTGCCATGGTCAGCCCAAAGGGACACTCTGTGTGCCATGGGTCAGCCCAAAGGGACACTCTGTGTGCCATGGGTCAGCCCAAAGG